AGCATGGAATTAGGAGGAAGAGGGCACATAACCCTGGAGAATTCAGAAGTGATTCAATGGAAGAAGTATTACCTGAGATACTTGGAGCCACTGAAGCTCAAAGCAGAGGAATGACTCCATCTGAAGCAGTGATGCAATAAGGAAATTAACCTGATAATGTTCGGGATGGAATGGGAGGGTAACAGACAAGAGGCAGGTAGACAGCTAAGAACTACTTAAAACAGCCTCCTAACGGATCTTTCTGCCTTTATCTCTTGCCTCACCAACCCTTAACTCCAAGTGCCACAGTTATCTTCCTAAAACAGCTCGGCTGATGACATTCCCCTCCTCAGAAACCCTCACTGGCTCCCCATGAACCAGGAAATGCAATTTATATTTCTTCTGTGGTCGGTGTCTGGGTTTGACATTTAGCCTGCAAAAGATGTGACTGGATCTTCTCCACTACAGTGTGAGAATAGTGCTGTTATCATGGTCTTTTACTAGTTAGTTGAAGGTTCTCCCATAACTTATATCACTAAAACCTCTATGGGAGTAGAGAAGGTACTTTCTTGTCTATCTATATAACACAACATAGACTATTCTCTGGGTCAGGTAAAACCTGGGTTCAAATCCCACCTCTGCCACTCACTAGCTCTAAGACTGTGAACATATTTCTTAATCCGTGTGAAGCTCAGTTTCCTTGTTTGTAAAATGGAGACGATGATAATTCTGACTTCATGATTGTTGTGGGCTTTAAATGAGACAATCATGTAAAGTCCTTATTATAGGGCCAGGCCCAGAGACAGCACTCAATAGCTACCAGCTCTAACCATGAGGCCAAAATGCATTTTTAGTGAATATATATGGGAGCAAACCTCAGTGCTAAAAGTTAATGTTACTGGGGAACCAGATATTCATTTCCAACTGACTTAGATCAACACCGATGTTGTTTCCCCTACACAGATAACAAAAAACTTCTTTTTTCATTCCTCAGGCTTGTCTCCATCTAATCCTGAAATTGCATGCAACCCAGTGTGAATCAGATAAATAAATTAATTAATAATTATGCTGAATCAAACATTTTATATTTGTATGTTCTAACTAGAGATTGAGCTGCATAAGCCAGAACTTTAGTTAAGTTCTTTTTTGAACATGTCCAGGAGATAGTTCCCGTAACTACTTGGGACAATTTCTATAGTGACAGGCCCTGTGGCTCAATTAGACCCTCTCCTCAAGTGAAACAAAGGAATCCAAACTAATGATTCCAACAGAATAGAATATGACAAGTTCATTGCAAAATCCAACCCATCTACTTAAGGTGGGAAGGGAGAAATACAAATCTTGAAGACATATGCTGTGTCTTACATGCAATAATCAACTCAATACTAAAAGAGAAAGCATTGCTACCTATCCAACACACACACACACACACACACACACACACACACACACTTTTTTCCATGTAATCCTAACACAGTTTATGTGACTCCCAGAATCCTTTGAGGTACAGATATGCACGCCTGCGTGTGTGGGTGCATGCTCACAGGCACACTGTTCATGAACACAAATGGCAACCAGAAACAAAAACTCCAAAATCACAACTATGGCACAAAGTTCTTGGTATCATTCAATATCACTGTGAATGGGACCTTTGCCAAGCTCAAGAACGTTTCTAACCAATCGCCTCACTCTTAAAAACAATGTTAGCTAAGATCAGATTACTAATAAAATGCCAATTGCTGCATATCCTTTATCTTCTGTCCCTATGGAGAGAGGGATAATGAAAATGATTAAACTTATCAATATAATTTTTTTCACTAGAGAACCAGCATTACCTACGAACTCCCTGGGAACTTCCAGGGCACTCCCTTATCCTTATCTCTATCATTCATAGGGTACTTATCACACACCGTGTTGTACTCCAATTATGTGTGTGCATGGCTTATCTTCCTACTACCAGGAAAGGTCCTGGTGGCAGAGGCCCTTCCTTTCCTTCTTGTTGCCTCCATGATGCCAAGCATAGAACACTGCACATAGTAGATCCTCCAAAAAGATATGGCCATTGAAAGCTGAAACGTATCCTTTATGTTAAAGATCCTTTTTGATCATGGCATCTGGACTCTCCATTATTGGAAAAGTACAGGGGGGTCAAGCAGATAGACAATACAGAAGCGTGGTTACAAGCCCTGCCAGCATGCTGTACTCCCCAACACCCTTGAGACCACATCAAATTATCCTGATTATGATCTATAGATTGAGACTCCTTCAGAACATGGAGTATTCTTAAAGCCTGTTCAAATCTCTAGAAGGCAAGTGCAAGGCCGTTGGGATTAAAACCTTAAACTTGGGCTAAGCCTGGGGCTCAATGAGCTAGGTACCCAGATATTGTGACCCTTTGCCTGGAAAACAATCCTGGATTTTTTGCACTGAAAAGAATATACCCCCTCCCCACCCCAAGGAAAGTGCCTGGCAATTCATTCATTCAGACCTAGACTGAATACAAGTCACTATATTGGTTTTACTCCCTCCTCCCCCCAAATGACCGAAATTATCTGAGTGTAGCCCAGAGAAGATGAAGCTAATGTATGCATCTGGAGAGGCCAGGGCAATGGTAAAGATTACCCCAGTTTCTATACTAGCCATCTAAAGGTATTTACTTGGGTCTGTCTGTGTTGTGACAGTGTCCTAGACTCAAATGAATGCCCTAACACTCCACATTTTTGAGCCATTCAGTCATGCATTTTTGTTATTGTTGAAAGTGGTGCGAAATTGCGCTGCATGAGCTAAAGTCCTTGGTGGTCTTCCAAGGATTCCAGCTCAAAAGGCACTTCCTTTGTTCCTCAGGAGAATGCAGTCCAGTAGGTCATTCAAAAGGGGAAATAAAAGCAGCAGCCCTGGGAGGGAGATGAAGGACAAGACAAAAAGAATAAAATGTTTTGGGTGTGAGCACATTAGCTTCCATTTCCTGCTGCTGGTCACTAATAACTCCCCTATCTTTCAGGGGGAATATCCAGATAGACTTTATGCAAGAATATCCCTCAGGTGTTTTCTGGGATAGATGACAATCAAAGGCAACACCTAGCATGGAGTTCTTGAGCACCCTTCAAGCTTCCTTTTTCCTGAGATGCTTGGCTGGGGAAGATGCTCTGCCAGTGCGAGAAACTGCACAGAGCCAAGTCAGAGAAACTGGAGAGAGCAATTTCACAACCCACTCCCTGAATGCCTCCAGTCCATCTAAAAAGCATATATTGTTTGCATGAGCCCAAGATGAAAACCTGTCACATTCCCATTAAGTGTATAGCTGTATCTATCCCTTCAAAATGTGAGAATGACAACTGTAACCTTCACGCCAATCATCTCTGCTGCGCCCAGGCCCAAACTGTGCAGGGCACAAAGACCCCATGTCTGACCTGCGGAGCCCCCAAGCTTCAGCGGCTGCTGGTTCACTTCACTTTTTCTGGCGGGGCGGGAGGAAGAGGGGAAAGAAAGAGGGCTTTTCAGGGCTCTACAACCAATAAAATCGTGCCGCTGTGAGGACACACTTGAGCTCCTAAAAAGACAAGCAGCTGAAGGGCAAACAGTCTCTAATCAGAAGTGTGCGAGTTATTTGATAATGGCCAAGGTGCAGGGGGCACCCGGGCTGCTCCAACAATTTCTTCGGTTCTATTTGTAGACAGATGCTGGTTACACTCGGAAAGTGCCTAGCAACTTCCCTCAATTACCTTTGTAATTTATATGTAATTGATGACTGCACTTAATCTCCAAGGTTATTAATAGCCCTTCGAAAAAATGACCCCAAGTCTTCCTAAGCCCTTGGAAGCGCCTGGTTAAAATTACAGTATTTCCTTTGCTGGCTGCCGGCCCCCCGCCCGCCCCACCCGGGCGACCAGCAAGGCGAGGCAAAGGCGCACTCTGCTCACTTCCATGAAAGGTTCGGAATGGAGGCTCAGCCCCTGGGGCTCGAATCGCTCACTCCTCCGTTAGGTTATGCTGGCCACCAGCCAGCCAGATTCGTGGTTCTTTCTGAACCCCCGGGGCGAACCGGCTACCTGCGCCGCCACCGGCTCCAGCGCGGCCCGCGGGCAGCGCGCAGCAGTTGGCCGCTGTGAATGAGTGAGTGCGACCCGGAGAGGACCCGCCCGGGCGGGCACCGCCGCCAGCCTCGCGAGGCGGGGCGGAGGACGCCCACC